GAGAGGGGCCTCCTTGGCAACTGTGTGCCAATGGATTCATACAGCTTGGAGGGACATTAAACCTGAAACCATTTCACATTCATTCAAAAAATGCAGGATCAGTAATTCTGTGGATGGCAAGGAGGATGATATTCTGTGGCATGACAAAGATCAAACAGAGGATGAAGACACTGAAGCATCTGATACCAAGGATACATATGACAATGAGATTACTAACTTGGGAGGAATTGTTTGGGGCTGACAGTTCTGAGAGAGAAAGCAAATGAGAGATTTTTAAATGTTGTTATTATTATGAGGGATTTTTTAAAGGAGGATTTTTAAATGTTGTTTGAGTGCAAGACACCATTGATGGTGCTAATCATGGTAGCGATTGTTTGATTGATTGCTCCTGATCTGTGCTGATTGAATTGTGTGTAACCTACAGTGATTCGTGCTAATCATGCTGGCAACCATTTGTTCTCATCTCTGAATAAGATGTGGGTCAACTTATACAGTGTGCCTATTAATATCCTAACTTTTTGTGTCAGAAAACCTGGGTCAACCTATACACTTAGAAATACAGTACTCATTTGACCAGACAAGGAAACCCTACAGGAACTAACCTTAAAAAACCAGAAACCTCCCAAGGCCCCACCAGGGTGTTCAAGAATTGGGGAACAAGAGACATATTGTGTTACTGTTGTAGAAACTCAGGTCATATTGCCAGGAACTGAACCCAAAGAATACAGGGAGAGTATCTGATGGAGATACCACATGATGAGAAGATGGATTGCAGTTTTGGGCAGCACAAAGGACCATCTTGCATTCTGAAGCTGGTGGTAGATATGAAAATAGACAACATAATCCCCATGGTGGTAGATACTGGATGTAACCAACCCATGCTAAAAGTGGACCCATTCCCACCACATGTAGGAGAAGAAGATGCACGCATTAGTATGATATATATTTGTGGTGACTCGTACAAGTACCAAAGGAGGCGCATGACAGTGACGGTGATGGGAAGAATGGAAGAATTATCGGTGGGATTTGCATAAACACTACCATGCCCAGTGCTTCTAGGTATAGATTGGCTGCATCTGTGAGAAGTGGTAAACCAGGCCATGGAGAAGAGACCAGGACAGATCACTGGCAAAGAAACGGTAGACAGAGTGGTTCACTAGGGTTGGGGAAGCCCCCACATCTGGGGAGGAGAAATCCGAAGTCCTAGATTTACAAGAAATTATTGGGGATGGGCAGTTCCAAGAGGAATGAGTCCAGGAGCTGATCTTCCATAATACATATGAAGAAAGACTGGCCAAGAGAGAAGGGGAAGTGGTGAACCTGGGGCTAGCTGAATCACACCCATGTTTCAAGGTAAGAAAGGGCATATTATATAGAGTGGAATGTGGATTGGGAGTGAAGAAGGAGATAGCATAGGTCCCAGTATTCCAGAAATATTAGAGGGTGCTACTTTGAATTGCTCACATGCTCCCCATGGAGGGGGACACTTGGGCAGGGAAAAACTGAAACCCAGTTACAACAGAGGGTATTCTGGCCTGGAATCTATAAACAAGCTGAAAATAACTGCCAAAGTTGTCCAGAGTGCCAGAAAGTTTTGGATGTATGACCTCCATGGGCTCCATTAGTCCCAATGCCCTTAAGTGAAAGACCGTTTGACAGGATAGCCATGGATATAGCAGGGTCATTTCCAAAGAACAGCGCAGGGTACCAATTTGTTTTGGTTATCCTAGACTATGCCACAAGGTATCCTGATGTAATCCTGATGAGGTTGGTCTCTGCAGCTAAAGTGGCCAAAGACCTAATGACATAGATCTACAGGGTAGGAATACCCCAGGCAGAGGTGACCCAAGCAGGGTGCGGGGCCTGGGGCAAATCCCCCCATGTGGGGCCCCACCCCCACTCCAATCCCATGGGCCCAGGACCTGAAGAAGCTGCTGCTGCCATCAGGGGGGGAGTAGCAAGCAACTGGGTGCGGAGCTGCCACTCCGCCCAGCTCTGCACCACCGCTGCTCCGCCTGGCTCTGCAGGGCCCCCCCGAAGTGCGGGGCCCAGGGTGGTCACCCTGATTCACACCCCCCTGGGATGACCCTGACCCCAGGATATATCCTAACAGATCAAGGCACCAATTTTATGTCTGGAGTGTTAAGGGGAGTGTGAGCTATCCTTAAAATCTGGCAATTAAGGACCTCAGTATACCATCCACAGATGGATGATTTAGTTGAAAGATTTAACCACCCTTTGAAAAGGATGATTTGTGCCTGCATTCAGGGGGATCCCAGACAGCGAGAACTATTACTACCTGCCTTTGCTGTTTGCCATTCGAGAGCTTCAACAGGCTGTACACCTTTTGAATTGGTTTATGGTCATCGACCAAGGAGTCTTCTGGATATGGTATGCGAGGGGTGACAAGAGCATGAGCCAGATGGGACAAGAGTACCTAAACAGGTCCTGGAGCTGAGAGAGAGGTTTAACAGTGTAAGAAAGATAGCCTGGGATAACCTTGAGGTGAGCCAAGCACGATAAACATGGAATTATAATCACCAGGCCCATAAGTGTGAGTTTCAGAAGGAAGACTGGGTATTAGTACTCCTTCCAGATAGTAATCATAAGCAATTGTCACAGTGGCAGGGACCCTTCCAGGTGATTTGTAAGGTAGGCCCAGTAAATTATGAGATAAGGAAGACTGGACAGTCTGGTAAACAGCAAGTCTACCATGTCAGTATGTTGAAGATGTGGCAGGACTCAGATGGCTGGTTTATGAGTCCAGAGACAGAGACTGAGGGATCAGGTTTGAGTGAGGGTCCTGAAATTACTGAAGGAGAGGGGGAAACTCCTGAGATAAGATCCAATTTATCAGGTTCACAGAGAGAACAAATTCAAAGGGTGATAACAAAGTTCCAAGATGTATTTGACAAAAGGCCAGGAAAGGCTCAGGGTGGAGCATCGTATTTTGACACCTCCGGGATGTATAGTAAGAGAACGTTTGTAACTTGTCATGCCTGTCCGGAGCTCCCTGCTTAGGCTTTTCTAGTTGCTCCAAGCCAACCATGGTCCTGTGTGCTGACAGTTTGCCCTGGCTCCAGTTACCTAACCCACTGAAGCTTCTCACCTGCCACATCTTTGATGGGAATTTTTATCTTGGGGACTGCTGTTTCTCCTGGTTCAGTGGTGTCCAGCTACGGTCAGTTGGTAGCACAAGGATCTTAGGGTTCCACCTCCCCTACATGCCACCTAGCACCAACCTGTTGTTACTTTGGTGTTGCACGGATGCAGTGTTGTTATCAGCCGTTGTCCTTGTTCTTCCTTGTAGGTTTATCATCGTCCTCCTTGGCCCTTTCCATAGTAGGGCTTCTATGTCTCCTCCTCTAACACGTCGATTGACTCTGCTGAGTCAGTGTGCGAGGGCAGCTCCCCACATGGGGGTTGCCAGCACCAGCCTTCCTCAGTCTCTCTGCTCACCCCACAGCCTGCCCTAGGCTGCTGGAGACTTCCTTCTGGTCCCGTCGTTGGACCAGCACGCAGGGCATTTATCGGTGTCTCGCTGCCCTGGGCAGTGAATCAGCACCGGCATGTGCTTACAAAGCGTGTCCGTGGTGGCGCCATTTTTTTTCCTTTGTCCTGTCTCTGAGCTCCTGCCACTGGGTTATCGGTGAGTTTTGCAGTGCAGTGAACCCGCCGCCACTGTCCTGTTTCCGGGTCTCAGGAGACTAGGCTGTTGCCAGCAAGGCCATTCTGCGCCTGCCGCACCCTTCCCATTGTTCCACATGCTGCAGGGGCACTGGAATTGCTGGCAGCATGGTGGGATCCCACAGCTCAGCATCTAGCAATACCGCTGGCGATTTTGGTGGTGTGGGGTTTTCGCCGTTGCTGATGGATCCCCGCGGCTTGGCATTTCCCTTGCCCCCACCACACTGTTGGAGGAGGCTCCCTAGACACTTGTTTGACCCAGTAAAACTGAAATGGAGCAAATGAGGGAACAGAGCATTATTGAAGAATCTTGTAGTCCCTTGAGGGGCCCAATGGTGATAGTCTCCAAGCCTGATGGCAACATCAGACTATGCCAGCAGTTCCCAGTCTGTGGTACCCATACCACCAATGGTACACAGACAACCTGTCAGTTGTACACATTACCAGATTTATTATAATTACAGAATTTACATAAGCATAGTACTTCGGATGTTTGATTTCTGTATATGCCCTCTTCCTCATTTGGTTTTTGGCACCATCTAGCAGTCATTGTAGAACACTGCTTGTGTGACGGCAGTCGAGCATGGACAAATCATTATTTAATAAAGGGGGATACACATAAATATGCCAGCACATCTACCCCTCTGTGTAGAATTGTCTGTTTTCTCTTGAACTTTCTAAAAGTTCTGCGCAGGTTCACCATCTTGGCTTTGGTTGCATGAGGGTGAATTTCTACAGTTTGAACTCCTATAGCGTTATGCACAGCAGGCATTACAATTGAAAGCTGTTGCATAAATACAAGTAATACCACAATGGAAAGGTGGCTGACTTCAACTTCTCTGAAGAGAAAGCAAACTGAAACAAAAGGGACCTCTAAGGAATTGAGAGAGTTGGACCTTGAAGAAGCTGCTGATTTACCAGAAAGTAGTACAGCTCACATTGCTGGATTAAGTGAGGAGGCCGCTGGCACTTCTGAAACACGCCCACCTGCTGCAACAGTTGGTGAGCACAAGATTACAAGAAGGTATGATCCCAGCTATTTGGAATTTGGATTTACCTGGAGTGGTGAAGAAAGTGAGCCAATACCTCAGTGTGTGATTTGCTATGAACTCTTATCAAACCACTGCATGAAACTTTTGCTTCTTCTGCGGCATCTTCATACAAAGCATAAATCTTTTAAAGACAAACCTCTTGATTTTGTTAAAAGAAAACTCAGCCAGTTCCAAGACAGTAAGAAAACAATGACCTCTCTAAGTGGTGCTAATGCAAGGGTTTTCGAAGCGTAATATTAAGTAAATTTAAGGATCGCTCAGATGGGAAATGCACATACAATAGATGAGACTGTCATGCTTCCTGCTGTGAAAGACAGCATTTCATCTGTTCTTGGAGAGAAATTTGCAAAACAGCTGGACATTGTTCCTTTGTTGAACAGCACAGTATCAAGAAAAATTGAAGATGTGGCTTGCCAAGTGAAAGAAAAACTAATGAAAGCATCAAGAAAAGCAAGTACTTTTCATTGCAATTAGATGAAAGTACAGATATAACTAATTTTGCTCAACTTCTTGCATATGTAAGGCTTGAAGCAGACATAGCAATTAAGGAAGATTTTTTTGTTTTGTGACGCTCTGTCAAGTTGTACAACAGCAGAACAGATATTCAAGAAATTGGATAACTTCGTAACTAGTAATGGATTACAGTGGCAAAATTGTATTGGCGTGCGCATCAATGGAGCATGAGCCATGACTGGCAAGTCAGGAGGTGTTCTGGCAAAATTAAAAGAAGTTGCACCCACTGCCAAATTCATGCACTGCAGTATACATCGTGAGGCTCTACCAGCCAAGACAATGCCTGCCAATCTTCAGGTTGTTTTAGACCAGGCAGTAAAAGTGGTCAATTTCATCAAAGGTCACTCAATTCACAATTGTTTTCTCTTCTGTCCAATGAAATAGGGAGTGAGCATGAAAAGCTTCTTCTCCAGACCAAAGTGAAACTGTTTTCTCATGGAAAGGTGCTGACCCCACTCTGTTAGAACTCCATACTGAGTTGCAGATTTTTCTCAGTAACTTTATTTTGAGTTTTCAGCCTGTTCAATGGATGAGCTGTGGTTGGCAAGGCTTGCCCTTTTGGCAGACATATTTTATATGGCTACCATAACTGATGAAACAAAGTTTTGTGATTACTAAAGGTCTTGATGTTGTTCTAATACATAGTCTGTTACCTATGTGTATGAAAAATTTGCTGGTGGTACTTAATGTTGTATCGTTTTAAATTGGTGGTGTGCAATCTGTCAGAGTTTGGGAACCACTGTACTATGCATTGACTATAGAAAACTAAATGCAGCGCTGACTGCAATGGCATGCACTTTCCCATGCCACAAGTGGAAGACATGCTTGAAAGGATAGACCAAGCCCAATTTATATCCACCTTAGATTTAACTGAGGGGTACTGGCAGATCCCCATGGTGAACACCGATGAAGAGAAAACTGCTTCTGGGACCCCATGGGGGTGGGGTTGTTCCAGGTTACTCAAATGCCATTTGGGCTGCATGGGGCAGCTGCATCATTTCAGAGACTCATGGACAAGGTATTAGCACCACACCAAGCATACGCAGCAGCCTGTATTGATGATATTCTTATATTTTTGGAACAGTGGGAGCAGCATTTACAACACTTACAGGCAGTCTTAATCGAACTCAGAGAGACAGACTTAACTGGTAATCTGAAAAAGTGCTCACTGGGGCAAAAGGAGACCTGATACTTAGGGTTCCAGGTAAGCTAGGGCTGCATCAAACCTCTAGCTTATAAGGTAGCCATAAGGACCTACTGACTTCCCAGCAATTGGAAACAATTAAGAGCCTTCTTAGGGTCGACCAATTATTACTGGAAATTTATTTCCTGATTTTCAGAATTAATGGCACCGTTAACAGACATGACAAAAGGAGGAAAAAGGAAAGACCTTCAGTGGTCCAAAGAAGCACTTCTAGCCTTTGAAAAGTTAAAAGTAGCCCTATATAAAAGTCCATTGCTATACACTCCAGATTTTGATAAAACTTTCTTTTTGAGAACCGATGCCTCAGGAGTTGCATTAGAAGTGGTATTGTCCCAAGGCATCACAGGGGAAGAGTGGCCCATAACCTATGCTAGCCAGAAATTATTAAGTGCAGAGACTCAGTACTCGACCACTGAGAGAGAGTGCCTAGCAATTAAATGGGGTATTGAACTCTTCAGGTACTACCTGATGGGGAGGAAATTCTTGCTGATCACACACCCCTTTAAAATGGTTGCAGCCCACATAGACTGATAATGCAAGAATCATGCAGCCCTTCAGCCATTTTATTTCTCTGTAGAACAGTCCCGCAGGAAACTAAATGTGACTGCGGATTTCTTATCACAAAACCTCAGAAGAGACGAGCCCCAGTCCAGGAGGGTGAGTGACTTAAAGGACAAAATAGTACCAGAACGTTTGGTGGTGAGTTATATGGATGATAAGGAAATGATTCAGATCGTAAGGAGGGGGGCATGTAACTGAGGACCACCTGCGGCCCCTGTTCCAAGGGGTAAGAGAGAAGGGAAGCGTACATACCAGAGGTGAGTTCAGCTTGCTTCCTCCTGGTGCTATGACGTTAGATGCCGAGAGGGAGATTCCAGCAACGCAGGGGTCCTCCACTGGAACCGACACTGACTGGCCAGCAACCCAAAAGGACCTGTTGAAGAGGCAGCTGGCAGTGAGTTCTTCCCGACAGACAGACAGACAGAGAGTGGTAGTGAGAGGAAGCTGCTGAGAGTCGGTGCAGAGGCACGGACAATTTATAGAGATTAAGGAAATGCCAGCTGAGTGAGACAGGTTCAAATGCACACTGATGGACCTCTAACCATGGTCACCAGGAGGATGATGAGAGGAACTAATTAACCAGCAACCCAGACACATAGAAAAGGACTGTGAGAGTGAAAACGGGGATGCTTGGTATCAGAGGGAAGAGGTCGGAGGGCCTGGGACTTATCCAGACTTAAAATAGACAGTGTCCCGGTTCCCTGTCAGGACAGTTACAGAGGAGACATGGGTCCTAGACAAGAAAAATCATGTTAACAGGAGACCCAGATCAAAGCATTCCTTTTTTTTGTGCCCAAAAAGGGGGGGAGAAAAGATATAACCCCATCTGAAGGAACTGAGGGAGGGCATACCTGTTAAGAAAATAAACAGAGTTAATTAAACCTGGCCATCATACCTAGGGGAGAGGCTCAGTCAACTAGGATCATGCTACGTGGATACCAGTTGAGACTGGCCAGAGTGTAGAGGAGGCAGAGCCTTGTGGTGGTAGCCCAAGCATCTATACCTCACTACTATGCTGTCAACCTCTTTCATAAGATCTCTTTCTTAATAAAGCATGGTGGGCAAGTGAGGACAGCAGCGAGAATGCCGGGGCCAAGAAGGCCCCATCTACAGGCTACAACCACTTCTCCTGGACCAGACCACAGGGAGACACTAAGTCTCCCTTCTTGTCAACCAATAACAATTGCATTCAATCCAAAAAGGAAAGCGACTAAATGCACGGCAATTGGTCTACCAGGCAGGGATCAATACCTCCCCATCCTGCTTTATGCTTTTTGAATACAATAAGTAGATTGTTTAGGTAAAAAAGGTAAAGGTTTTCTGGTATTTTCATCAGTGACTTATTTGACACTACTGTACTTAACTATGGCTTGGAACTATTCATCAAACTGAAAGGGATACTATGTAGAAAGGTTGAGTCGGTTTGCTCCTTTTGGAGAAAGAGAATTATGGAGGGTTCCTAAGTAAGAGGGGAGCTTTGTGTTTTCATTGTACAAGTGTACAATACTGTCATGTTGTCCGGATTTGTGTGTACACTTTGTTGTCTGGGGATTCACCAACTGTTTAGTGTTATCCATACTAGAAATGCAAATTCTTGTTTTTTGTCAGATGAGCACATAGAATTGGATTAAGTCCACAAATTTTTGCTAGCTACCAAACAGTAAAAACCTTTCAGTCACCCTGATCAATCCTGCACTTGAAGCAGTAAAGGTTGAAGTAGGTATACTCTCTGTAACTTCAAGAAAAAATGGACTAAAGATGGCAATCTAAAGGGTGTACAAGGCATTTTGGTCATAGAAAATAATTGCCCCTTCTTTTATAGAAGTTTATTGTAAGCATCATTTAATATGTTTCTAGAGGTTAGCAAAGATGTGTAGTCAGTCCCATGTTACTTCTTACTTATCCTTCTTACTCAGTCCTGCACAAGGAATGAAAAAGCAGAGGACATTAAACCTAAGTTGCAATATTCATCTTTCTTATTATACACCAAATACCATTAGTAAGGGAGCTCTAGCTGGGGCACATACAGGCGGGAAAAGGAGGAGGGCTCTTGGGGGAAAATAGATTTTCTATAATAAAACTTGAAATCCTATTAATGGTAGTATTGTCTGTTTCTCTCACTGAAATACAGGAGCCTAGAAGTATTTATATTGAACATACAAATCCACTGGAAGTAAAATTACTTAGTGTAATTGATCATGACCATCATTGGCCATGCTCTGTTTTAAAATTACAGTTATGTCTCAAAAGGAGGTCACTAACTCTATAACATGGGAGTGGCTGGCTTTCATGCAACTCTAACACAGTTGACTCTATTAGAACTAATTTTTCATAACAGATATTTCTATATTTTTTACATTCTCTATACTGGCACCTGGTTTTTATATACTGAAATGAATGTTGTGCTTGTAGTTAATAGTTCATACAGGTATAGCTTAAGAACATGCAAACTAACATGGATTAAGAAAGATCCAAAGTTTTGGGATATCAGGTAAACTTGTCCAATTTCTTTTTCCAATACTTTTCCAAAACTTTCTTTTCATTTCTCAATAGTATGCATATCTTCATTTCCTGGTTCTCACCTGGTTCCTGTTTTTTTAAAGGAAGTTCTATAGAAGCAGGAACTGCATATTTTGTTTAATGCCAGCTAAGTGTGCAGACTCAAGAAATTTAGATAAGTATCTAAAATATATAATTGTCAATTCCAGACTTGCTACCAAGCCTTTCTCCAAGGTTTTCACATTGCTGATCATTTGAAACATACAGGGCCATCATTTATTTTAGGTTGAAAACTTGAAAAAAAAAAGATTTAAAGATAAAGTAGGCAGCACAAAACGTGAGTCAAACTTTGAACCCGTGTCATCCTCCAATGTTTTTACCTTGAGATTATCAAAGGACCAAGATCTTACACCTGCTGTACTGCAAAGGGCTGTGAATACCTGTTTTTTTAACAGAAGCTTATAATGAGAAGCAGTTCCCAATGCCAGTTAGCAGGTGTTTCCTGCTGAAACTGGGAGGGTCATGAATGTAAATCTAATTTTGAAAGTTTCTAACCTCAGGGTTAATATACAGTAGTGCTGCCACTCTTATTGCCATCTGTACTAAAATTTAGTTCAAACTGAACTTGATAGCACTTGATCCTACTGAGTGAGCCCAACTGTTTGCATTCTTGCACAAATGTGTGAATGGCAGCCTTCGGCAAAGCAAATGCTGGGTTTGCTCCCTTCAAAGGATTCGTGAGTGATCCTTGCCCTGCTGACTTCAGCCTTAATTGGTCTACACTGTTGGGAGCAATTAAAAATAAATGGTAGCTTGCTGAGCTGCTATAAGGGAAGTTCTGCAGCTATGGGCATGAGCATTCCTATGCAAGTCCACTGCATATGCCGTACACTGACAATGGCAAAGGAGAAAATAATGTAAGGCTGAGAGTTACTGTTCTGAATAAGCTCTCTGGGGAAAAAAAATTGATAATAAGTAATAGCAATTCTGGAAATAAATTACAATTAGATTCATGGTATGCAACTATGAGACGTTTTCTCCCCTGACATTTTGTAAAATGTGTAAACATGATTCCAGTTATGCTCCTAGCCCAGCAATTTTGTGTTTATATGATTTTAGTAAAAAGGACCATTTCTCAAACAATGAGAAAATTAGATAGATAGATATCTGAATGTGAAGATGGAGTCTTGCCTGAATTAAATATTTAAGGTCAAATTTTGCAAAACAATTTTTAATGAAAAATTTGACCAGATTTTTTTCCCAGAGAAAAGGGCTCCAGAATTGCATCACTACAATTATTTATATAACTTTACCCATAAAGGGGAATTCTGAAACTGAGCAATAACTACCTAGAGCAGGGGTCAAAAAACCCTGGCACATGTGCCACAGCATGGCACATGAAGCTATTTTGCTTGGCATGCCGCAAGCCAACCTAGGCTCTGGGCAGGCCCCTGCCCCTGGTCAGAGCCTAGACTGCTCTCAGCAGGTGGTGGGGAGGCTGCAAGCAGCTGCACCAGGGTCTGTGGAGCTCCAGTCCAGGTTGTTGCTGGCAGTGACTGCATGTATGCCTCAGGGCAAATGGCAGGAAAGGAGCCAGGGTTTTGCTGACACAACAAGGATAAGGCCCCTTGTTGCTCCCTTCCTATCCGCCCCAGTACGCCAACATCTTACAAGTCGAGGTTGCAGAGTTTTCTGGCACTGTCCAAAAACATTGTTGACCCCTGATCTATAGTGTCAATATAAAGAAGTAATGTCTTAAGTGGACATCTAGATATCTACTCAACAAGAGGCTGGTATCATGCCCTCTCCACAATGAAGAACTGATAATACATAGCTCTTAATGGGCCTAAATCTTTTCTTAACGAGCAGCAAATATGTCCATTTCATAAGCATCTGAATACTGCTCCCCAGCAACTGCAGAATCTGCAAAGCTGGGACAAGGTGAAACAAGCAAATAAGATTGGGTCTCACTTGATATATTTTTTATGCAAAGGAGACAGTTCAGTCTGTTTTAAAGTGATCAAATTCATCCAGAAATTACCTGGAAAATACATGATACTGAACAATGGTTGATGGTTTATTTGGGTGAAGACTGTCCATTATCAGGCAAGTGCATGATGAGCAGTAATAATAGCTATGTGTTTTATTGTTGTATTAGGCATTCCTACATCACCTCTATTTGCAGTGCAGCATTGTCAGGGACTTTGATAATACCTTGGCTGTGGAAAAAGGCAAATAAACATGGTAGTAGGGTGAAAATCTAC